GATGTAGACCTTCCCCCCATTTAGTTTATACACTTGTTCAGGAACATCTGTTCCGAAGAGTTAACACTTTGGCCTCTTTGCTGAAAGTCAGTTGGTTATAGACAAATGAGTCTCTATTTCTGTTCTACTTGTTTATCTGCAGGGCTCTACTGAGCAGATCTGATTATCATACTTCACGGAACTTCTTGGAAAGTTCTCAAGTCAGGTGGTAGGAACCTCCCACCCCTCAAGTCAGTGTCTCAAGCAGCTCAGACAGGCTTTCAGCTTGCTATGTACTCATGGCTCTTCTTGAACTGAGCCCCCGCCTCCATTTTCCGAGTGTTGGGTTACAGTTGTATGTTACCATGCCTAGTGCTGGCTGTGTTTTTAAAATAAAACAGTTCAATAATTGATGCTTGTGCTTTTATTTTGCGCCTAGTCCAGGTCCTCTGTAACTCTTCATGAATTTTGGTCCAAATGGCAGTTATTCACAGAAGAAGATTTGGGGATTCTGATAGAATTAGGTTGACTCTGTAGGGTGATTGGGAGAAAATCAGCTTCTTTTTTTTTTTTTAAGACTTCTTACATTTCTTTTAGCAATGCTTTTTTTTTGTGGTTTCCACAAAAAAATAGTAAGATTTTTGCAACAACTTCAGTGTGTTTATTATTAGCGCATATATATGTATATGTATATGTATATGTATATATATATGTATATATATATGTATATATACATATATATGTATACTATTTTATATATATATATATATACTATTTTGTTATGTTCTTATCCCTCTACCTCCCTCTCAACACTTATTCCACCCCCTGATGATCCCTTCCGCACCTCGAACACGAGGTAAGAGAGAAAAGTTAGAGGGGAAAAGTGGCATAGACCTCTCTAAGTTACTTCTGCTGATTTAGGGACCTTGGATTTTTGGGGGCAAGTCCAATCTTCCTCGACAGAATATCCAACAGTCTGGCAAACTAGCAATTCAGAATAACAAATGGAACAGCAAACACAGCGGCAGACATAGCGGCAGAATGAACCAGCAGCTCAAAGGGGAGCAGCCGCCGCCACAGGCCCTCTCAGGGATGTTTCATTTACACCCTCTCCAGAGTCCCCAGAATTAAACTATCTGCAGCTGGCAAAAATCACACCCTTGCTAGTGCATGAGGCAAACCATAATCACCTTCTGTGAAGCAGCCTCTTACCCCTCACTTGGGATTAAAGCAAAAGCATACTCACGTAACATAACTGGGTTTTAAAAGAAAAATGAAACTCTTACTACAGTTTATTCCAGAGTAGTTTATAGTTTTTTGTCACTGTAGATAATGTTTAAAATCTTTCCCTGTTTCCTCTCTTTCCCTCTTCTTTATTTTTCTTCCTTCCTTTTCCTTCCTTCCTATCTTTCTGTTTTGGAGACGGTTTCTCTGTGTCACCCTGGCTGTCCTAGAACTTATTATGTAGACTAGGCTGGCCTTGAACTCACAGAGATTCATTGCCTCTTTCTCCACAGTGCTGGGATTAAAAACATGTACCAGCATGCCCTACTTTGGGTCAGTTTTCTTTCATTGAGAGAGTGCTTTAAGTTTTATGTTTCTGTAAAGATGTAGAGATCTGTTTCGTTTGTGTTTTTAAAAGTCTTCATGAAAAAAAAAGTCTTCATGATGTTTCCTTCTTTGTTCTAGTAAAAAACTATTTTTAAATATGTATATGTATCTATATGTGTGTCCGTGGGTGAGTACCTGCTCATAAATGCTGATGTTTCAGAGATAACAGGTTGTTCAGTTCTCCTGGACCCTGAGTTCCAGGCATGACCTGTGAGCTGCCGGATGCAGGTACTGGGAACTGAACTTTTGTTCTGGGAAGACATTATGATCTCTCCAGCCCCATCTTCTGGGTTTTTGGGGGTACGATTTCACTATCTCATTCAGGCTGACTTTGAACTTGAGTTCTCCTTGCCTCAGCTGCTTAAGGGCTGGAGTTACAGATGTGTGCCACCACACCTGCTAAGTGTAGCTTACAACATCTGTAGAATCTCCATTGATTGAAATCTGTATTGAGGTTCACACTTTCATTCTGATATTGACGATGTGTATTTTATTCTCCCCCCTTATCAATTTTATTTAACTGTTCAAAGGACAACTTGGTTTAATCAGTGTTCTCTATTGTTTATCTTTATTTCATTCCACTATTTTACATTTTTTCTACCACTTAATGTGAGTTTATCTAGCTCTTTTTCTTGAGCTACTGAAAGCAAAAGCTTAGGTCAGTGCCTTTAAGACCCACCTCTCTTTTTCTTTTGTTCACTTCTATTGTCTGTGTGTCTAAGATTTATTTAATTTATGTGAGTACACTGTCACTGTCTTCAGACACACCAGAGAGAGCATCAGATCCCATTATAGGTGGTTGAGAGCCACCATGTGGTTGCTGGGAATTGAACTCAGAACCTCTGGAACAGCAAGCAGTGCTCTTAACCTGTGAGCCATCTCCCCAGCCCAGGGAATTCCTTTTCTGAGTTGCTTCTTACTTGGTTTCCTTTCTTCATGATCCTGAGTGACTGGGCAGCTGTTCTGTTTCTTTAAGACCCACAGTTGGGATGTCTGTATTTTTGGGAAACTCTGTTCTAACTCCTTGCCCCACCAGACCTAAACTATCTGTACCTTTAGAAAAGGGAAATCACCTCCTAGATGTCGTAACTCAGAGAAGTCATGCATTCTCAGTGAGTGGAAATGGAGACTTCTGTCTACAAAGGATGCTGATAGTGACCTTCTGTATTTCTTTGTTCAAGTCCCAGGAGGCTTTGCTTCATTGTTTTGATCTTATGTATTTGGATGGGGTTTCAGGAGAGAGCTCACCCTGCACATTTCTGCTGTAGGGGTGTGAGATGTATAACATCAAGGAAGACATTTCTGTGTGGAGACATTTCAGCAATGGTGACAGTATTTTATTCCAACATTCAGCAGAGCTGAAACAGAAAGGCCATCTGTGTGCATACAGAACACCAAATTCAAAGAACTCACGAGAGGAAACTGGGCTACCCAGAGGAAACCCCCAGAAAATGTGAGAGTTGAGAGACCGACTAGCTTTGCAAACGATAAATACTGCATTAAAGAGGAGGTAGTGAAATTGCTAATTAAAAATTAAATATTATTTTCCCCAAACTAGGGCCAGGAACCATGGGCAGGCCCAGGAGCTGGCCTAGGCTCCCATTCCTAATCCCACAGGCTGGTGGCCACTTTCTTTCACTCTGCCTTGCAGTCTTGCTCTTGAACTGCTTGCCTTTCACAGATATCCCACAGTTCTTCAAGAAGACTGACTGTCTGTAGGAGACAGCAGGGCCTCTGGTGTCAGGTTTAAGGACAAACTGAGGTTGTGTGGAGCCTGATTAAGGTGGGCCTGTGGCCTGAGGCAGTTCCTGCCAAGCAATGTGAACATGCAGGCAGCAAGCAAGGGGCTAGAGTGGGAACTTCCTGCTGGCTCTCCTGACCCTCCTGACCTGACTTAGGTGTGAGTGAAACTGCAGAGAGGAGCTTGTTTTACCCCTTATCCTTTTGTCTGTTTGTCTGTCTGTCTGTCTGTCTGTCCGTCTGTCTCTCTCTCTCTCTCTCTCTCTCAAATTATAATTTTATTTATTTACATTCCAGTCATTGCTCCCCCTCAGTCCCCCCTCCCATAGTGCCTCACCCCCCCTTGCCTCCAAAAGGGTGTTCCCCCCCCCAGGCCTCCCTCTTCCCTGGAGTCTCTCGAGGATTAAGCACATCTTTTCCCATTAAGACCTGACCAGGCAGACCTCTGCTATATATGTGCCGGGTTTGGGGGGGGGGGCATCTCAGACCAGCCCATGTGTACTCCTGCTTGGTAGTTCCGTCTCTGGGAGCTCCCTGGGGTCTGGGTTAGTTGAAACTGCTGGTCTTTCTGTGGGGTTGCCTTCCCCTTCAGCTTCTTCAATCCTTCCCCTAGTTCAACCATAGGGGTCCTCGACTTCAGTCTAACGGTGGGTGTAAGTATTTGCTTCTGTCTTAGTCAGCTGCTGGTAGGGCCTCTCTGAGGACAGCCATGCCAGGCTCCCAGCTGTAAGCACATCATAGCATGGTAGTGTCAGACCTTGGTGTTCTCCCCCATACCCCAGTGAGATGGATCCCAAGTTGGGCAGTCACTGGACTGCCTTTTCTTCAGTCTCTTCTCCATTTTTGTCCCTGCAGTTCTTTTAGACAGGAACAGTTCTTGGTCAGGCATTTTGACTGCAGGGTTAGTAACTCTGTTCCTCCACTTGAGGCCCTGTCTATTTACTAGAGGTGTTCCCTCTCCCCAATATTGGGTATTTTGGCTAAGGTCACCCCCATTGAGTCCTTAGAGTCTCTCACCTTCTGGGTCTCTGGTACTTTCTAGAGAGTCTCCCCACCTCCCCATACTGCTTATCTTCATTCATTCCCTTAGTCCTCTGGGCATCTCTCCTGTCCCCACCCCCCCCAATACCTGATCCTGTTCTCCTTTTCCCTTCCACTTCCCTTCTCCCACCCAGGTCTCTCTCTCCCTCTGCCTCTTGTGATTATTTCCTTCCCCTTTCTAAGCAGGCTTGAAGCATCCTCATTTGGGCCTTTCTGCTTGTTACACTTCTTATGGTCTGTGGGTTATATCGTGGGTATTCTGTACTTTTTGGCTAATATCCACTAATGGTGAGTACATACCATGCATGTCCTTCTGGGTCTGAGTTACCTCACTCAGGATGACATTTAAAAACAAGGACATCATGAATTTTGCAGGCAAGTGGATGGAACTAGAGAATACCCTTGTCTCTTCCTCCTCTGGCTTGTCCCTCCTGTTCCGTGGCCCTTCAGCCCTTCAGTCATCTGAGCTATTATCCTTCCCAGCTGTTTATCTTGTCTTCTTTTCTGTATTATCTTGAATCTTTGTAAAAGTGATCCATTCAAGTCCCACTGTGTGCTTCCTGCCCCTTCTGCCCATCCATCCTTCATGCTTCTCCTTGGCCTGACGCCACGTTGTTTAATCTCAACAGAGCACGGACATTCTCAGCACCATCGGATATGACAGCATCATCCAGCATCTGAACAATGGGCGCAAGAACTGCAAGGAGTTTGAAGACTTTTTGAAAGAAAGGTAAGATAGATGCTCGGGTCTCTTGAGCCAGGAAGCCTCACCCCCACCCCAGACCAGGAACTAATTGGTTTCTCTTTTCTTCTGTAGAAAAAGTTACTTCTTGTTAGTCTGTGGGCGCGCATGTGCCACAGTGAGCATGCAGGAGTTAGGGGACAACTTTGCGCCGTTGGGTTTCTCCTTTTGCCCTTACAGGAGGTCATCCTTGATCAGGGTCACTTCCTAATCTGTGAGAGCAGGTGTCCCTATGAGAAGATTATATGAAGACACAAGTCAAGAGCTCCCTGTGGTAATAAAGTGAGGCTGGTGGAAATTATGGAGCTGAAAGCCAGGACACATCAGAGACTCCTAGTGACACTGGACACTACACAAGCCCATTCTCCCTAGACTCTCCAGGAGAGTGAGTTCCTGTCCCCATCTCTCCCACAGCTCCTTACCTTCTGATGTCTGGGCTTGAACTCAGATGTCAGGTTTGCCTGCAGCCACTCCACTCTGGAGTCATTTCATCCCTTTTCCATTGGTTGGTTTGGCTGTGTTTATTGATTCTGAAGACCCTCTGCTCCAGGGTGTGAAACAACCCCGAGAAGTGTCTGATACTATTCTAGAATTAATGTTAATATGCCTTCTTAGTGAGAAATCACTCTGCACATTTAAAGATCAATAAATGAAAAACAAAGATTTTTTTTTACATAGGAGCTGTTCATGATTAGATGATTTTAGTAACTTATTTATACTTTAGGCTTGTGCATTCCACATAGGCTGTCATCTTGAGGTTTACTTCAGGTCCAGTCCCTAGGTTCCACTTTGAACAATTTAAACAGAGACAGGAGGCTGCAAGTCTGGCTGGTGCAGATGGGAGATTAACACAGCAAAGATATTGCCAGAATTATTATTTTTTCTTTTCTCTCTCTCTCTCTCTCTCTCTCTCTCTCTCTCTCTCTCTTTCTTTTTTTTTTTTTTTTGGTTTTTCGAGACACGGTTTCTCTCTGTAGTTCTGGCTGTCCTGGAACTCACTCTGTAGACCAGGCTGGCCTCAAACTCAAGAAATCTGCCTGCCTCTGCCTCCCAAGTGTTGAGATTAAAGACGTCCACCACCACTACCCGGCACACGATCACTCTTACCATCCTAAATCTCATGTCTCTCAAACAGGTCTGGATAGCACCTTCTTCTTCTCTTCAGTGTATTTTGGAGGCAGTGCTCCCTTACTAAATTCTACCTTGGGTGGCTTAATGTTTCCTAAGCAAATCTGTGAGTAAATCCTTTATGACACCAATTCTGCCATTTCAAGTCTCTTCTCCATCAATACCATCCTAAAATTCCTTAGGAATCAATCTGAAAAATAAGATTTGTAAACAAAACAGCAGATAGAGATGCAGCAAGCAATAGAATACACTAGGAAGTGCAGTGTGCAACTGGGGCAACAGAGCTCTTCTTTGGGAGCTTCATGGAAGAGGGGATCCTTGCAGGACTCTGGCACGACAAGGTGGTTCTGACTGCTGTGGGGGACAGGCATTCTTGGAGGTGGCAGTAAGCAGCCCTAAGTAAGAGGAAGGAAGGCAGGACTTCATTTAGACACCAGAAAGTGAGGAGCTGTGGGAGGTGGAAACAGGACCTTCCGCTCCTGGAGACTCTAGGAAGAATGTGGTTTGTGTAGCATCTAGTGTCACTAGGAGTCTCTGATGTGTTCTGGATTTCAGCTCCATAGTTTCCAGATACCCTGCTTTATCACCACAGGGAGTTTGTGACTTGTTTCTTTACATTATCTTCTCATAGGGACACCTGCTCTGACGGATTAGGAAGTGACCCTTTCCTGATCAAGGGTGCCCTCATCCTAGCTAACGACATCTCTGTAGTGGCCCTACTCCAAAAAGGAGTACAACCAGAGACAATGAGGACTAGAGCTGGAGCTGGTTATGTTTTTAAAGGGAGACAGCTCCTACCATGCAAATGGCACAGGCAGCTGAGACCTATAAGGGAAAGAACACTGGGACAGAGTCTAAACTCTTCCTCTTCTGATCCTGCTTCCTTGGTAACTGGCAGGGACACACATCAAGGGCATGTATCTTTCCAGGTGTCTGTTTTCCTCCTCAGTAAAAGGAAGCCATTGTACTCACATCTGTAAAATCTCTGAGCAAGGAGCCTGGGTTTTCCAAAGAAATTAATAATTCAACAGAGGCACTATTTTGGGAATATGTAGTAAAATAAGCAAAGATGGGTAGATATCAGATTCTTGGACAGAAGATTTCATTCTGGCCACCTACTCTGATCTGGGGGCTTCCTCAGCCTCCAGGCACAGGGTCACTGGAGACTGCCCTCAGGATTGATAGGAAAGGCTGTATCTGATTATGCTGGCCATGACTTGTTGAAGGAGAGGTGGCACATGGATTATTCCTGGTCTGGGAAATTTGGAGGGAGGGGTCAAAGTGCACAAGGGTAAGTAAGGGCTTTGGGGAGGAGTGTATCTCGTCGAGTATTGGCTTTTCAGGAAAATTGATGATGGAGATCACAGTCATATTTAAGTGAAATAACACAGACACAAAAAGACCAATATGCCTTTTCACATGCATGGAAATAAATAAGACCTGGAAGTAAAGGGACTAATAAGGGCGGAAGGCAGAAGGAAGGCAGGAAGAACCAGAAGGAGGTAAAATACAGATAGGGATCTCATTGTGAAACCTCGTAAGTTTTTCAACTAATAGGCATTAATCTCCGTAGGAAGAGTGAATTGGCAGGAAAAGTAGAGGGGCAGGACCTCTCTTCTGTGACTTGCCCTGTTTTTACATTTCACACGGCCCTGCTGTAATAAACTAGAGTATTGGTGCACACACCTTCCAGCTCCACTAGGCCACTCTTTTATTCCAGTCATTCGGTGATCCTGGCACCCAGAAGGATGCCCGGCATATAAAATGACAACTTAGGGGCTGGAGAGATGGCTCGGAGGGTTAAGAGCACGTATAGCCCTTGCAGAGGACCAAGGTTCCATTCCCAGCAACCGCACGACAGCTCACAACCATCCATAACTCCAGTTGCAGACGATCTAATGGCCCTTTTTTGGCCTCCTCATGCTCTGCACACACACAGGTGCACAGATATAAGTGCAAGGAAAACACCCATGCATGTAAAGTAAAATAAATAAATCTTTAAAGTAGACAAGTTGATGGACAGGTAGGAGGAAACACTGGTTGGGTGGTGCTCTAGGAGTAGGTCTTTCCATCAAAGGGGATTTCTGCAACGTCCTGGTGGTTCCTCTATTGCTTATGGCGTCAGGACCCACGACTTCCCCTATGCTCTGTGTGTCAGTGGTGGTTCCCCTGGTTTTAGAGAGCATGACGCTAGAGTTTCATTTCAGTAAAGCTCCCTCTTTTCTCCTGAGTAGACCACTGTGCTTCCTAGGAGCATGGGGGAATTCCGCCCACTGTTGCCTGAATGCTAGAGTGTCTCCTCATGGAAACCACAGGGATTCTCAAGAACTCTTGAGGAGTATGCAGGAAGGAAGGTGGAGGGCAAGAGACAGGGATGCTCTGCTAGGTGCTGTAGGCATTACACAGCGGGAGCCAGATGGCAGCTTTGAAGTGCTGATGTTTAGTAACCAAAAGTGCTGATGTTTAGTTACCACTAGTTTTGATACCAAAGCAAGCCAGGAAACTTTCCCAAAGCAGGAGATGAAGCCCTGGGAATTGCTTTGGTTTGAGGAGCTATTCTGCTTCCAGTGAGAGGAAGCAGATGATAAGAGTTGAACTTCCAGTGTTAACCGTTTGAGACCTTCCTCTGTGTGTCAGTGGTGTCAGAGACAGAGGAAGAAGTCAGACAAGGGATGCAGAGCAACCCTGGCAGAGGGAGGGGAGACTCCAGGCAAACTCTCTTTTCAGCACTGGGAATCCCTGGGATGCCGTTTTAATAAGACCTCTGCTGACTCCGTGGTGATGGTGGCTGAAGACCTCTTAGGTCTTGGTCTTAGAAAAATCAGAGCAAGTGCCATAGGGACTATCTGTTGAAACCTGGCCATAATGCTTCTAGACTGTAGGAAGAAACTTTGATCGGATTTATGTGGTATTTGGTGGAGTGGAAACCTGGTTGGAGCAGAATCTTCGATGGTATGTTCTAGGCAGCAAACTGGACACTGGGAAGGATTACACAGGGGCAGGGCCAGGATTGACAACTGGACTCCTAAAGGACCATCCAGAGGTATGAGCAGCATCCATGACCCAACCTTACAAAGGAATGCATAGGGGTGTCACAGTCTTCTGGGAGCCCAAGAAAGGGACAGCGAGGTGAGCAAGCAGCTAGACTGCATCAGTCTCCAGCCTGCACTCACTTCTCTCTCCTTCTTTATTCTTGTGTGTTTAACATCAGTGACTATGAATGCTAAGTTAGTGACGGGTTAGCGGTTAAGCTTTGGTCTCTTTTGAGTGTGTGGTCAACCTCTCTCTTTTCATTTTCCCTTTTCAAGGAGCACAGGCTTGCCCTGGTTTGCAGGGCTTTTGTGTGTTAGCCTCCTGAGAGCTGGGGTGGTTGGAGATTATCTGAATGAATGATTGACTGATGACTTTTCATTTTATTTTCTGCCCAAGCTGACTCATCCCTCCTGCTGTCCCCTCTTCTGTTCATACTCACCCTCCACAACCTGACACCGATCATCAGTCTTACGCTCTTTTCCCCACTTTCCGTGGCTGTTAGCATATTATCCCAAACGGTAGTGTCAGTGCTCCTTCACTTCCTAAAATGATTGACATTTAAGGTTTTTTTTCCCTTTGATGATTACTGTGTTTTCATAGCAAGCATACCCTTTGATAGTGACCATTTTGAAGACTGTGTACTAATTTCAGGGGAGCCTTGGGGGATTGAGCCTGGTGTCCTAGATACCAGTGTAGTAGAGAAAAATGACAATTTAGCCCTATTGAAATCTAGTCCTTGTTGAATGTTAAAAATGCTTATGCTGAAAGAATCAGGGCAAATGAAAAAGAATTCAACCAGAGACCAAACACAGGTGCTTAAGTCCGAA